TGTGTTAATTTTCTCATGGTGCTGCATTAAATGCCCCCACTGAGAGCCAGTGCCTTAATGTGAGGATTATCACCAATGACAAGAAAGGTTGCTGCTTTTCCCTGCCTGTCAGACTGAGGGCTGGCCATGGAAATGTTCTGTCAGAGCGGAGATATTCTGGAGACCCCGGTCAGCCATCCAAGGGTGTTTTCACACCTCACAGGCTGGTAGACTCGGTTCTACCAGGGACCAAAGTTGCAACATTTGATACATTTTTAGCTGGTGAGGTTTGCTTTCTCACTGCACTGGATCAAATGAACCAAATCAACTGAAGAAAACGTTCCCCTCCTCACCTGTGGTGGCGCTGCACCAAGAACCACTTAAAAGAAGCACCAGAAAACACCGAGCGCAACTTCCTTCTCCACAAAACGTAAACAAAAATGAAGTAGCATCAGACTTTGGCAGCTGTAGGATTTCTCATGTCTTTGGTAAAACTGAACTGTTGTGATTGTTTTGGTTGCATTTGCCCAGAAGACCCTGTGCTGTAGTTCCCTTCCTGCTTTTGCTGCGGTCTCTGGTCCGTTTGCATCCACATATCCATTTGTACCGCTCCAGACTAAACATGGCTGGTGTAAAATGTTTTCATCAACTGAAGCACATTGAGGCTGTTTTCACACCTGATAGTGCAGTAGACTCGGTTCCACTGGGGACCAGAATTACAGCATTTGTTACATTTTTAGTTGGGTGGGTCACTTTCAAACTCTGTTGTATCAAATGAACCAAACTAATTGAATAACCTGTCCCCCTCCTCGTCTGTGGGGGCGCTGCACCAAGAACTACTGAAGGAAACAACATTAAAACCTCCAAAGAAGACATGAGTGCAACTTCTTTCTACACAAAATGTAAACAAAACTAGAGTGGCGTCAGATTTTAGTGGTTGTAGGATTTCTCTTTTGTCTTAGCTAAAAGACCATAACCCATTTCTGCTGCTAGCGCTTCACTCTCGCGTTTGTTGTGGTTGTATTTACCCAGAATGCCTAGTGCTACAGTTCACTTCCTGCTTTTGGAGCGGTCTCCGGTTCACTCGCCTTTCACATTTGCATTCGAACCGCACCAGAGTTCACTTCAACCAACGCGAGACCAAAGTGGATCAGAGTTGAAACCTCCCAAAACGAACTGGACTTTCCAGACAAAGGAACTAGAGTTCAGTTAAAGTGGACATTTCTGGTGTGAATGCAGCCCAAGTTAGATCATCCTGATTACTCTACAGAGAAGAGAAAATAAGGCCCATGTGTTTGGTGGACTTACTTCCTGCGTGCGCTGGAGCTGGTGTTGGTGTCTGTGCTGTCAGTGCGTTCCAGCCGGTCCCGGTCCGTGTTGGAGGAACCGCAGGAAAGGCCTCGCGTCAGTCTGGCGTGGCTCCTCCGCTCCCTGCTGGGCCCTGGAGTTGTGGCTGATCCAGATGTCACCTGAGGCGTTGAGGTGCCACCACTCCCGCTGCAGCCCCCGTCACCGCCCGGTTGGACCGGAAGGGTCAGAGGCTGGCTGTGGTTGTGGTTCTGCTCTGGGGTGTCGGACCCCCGTGGGCCACGCTCCAGCCTCAGGTCCTGGTTTTCCTGACTGACCCGGTCCAGCTGGCCCTCCAGCTCCTCAATGCGCCGGCGCTGCGTCTCGAGGAGCTTGGCCTGGCTCTCGATGATGTTGTTGAGCTCCAGTAGGTACTCCACGGCCCGGTTGGGGCTCTCCGGGTTGGACTCCATGGTTGGAGTCTTCCTCTTGGTGTGTGTGTGAACACCACCAGCTGGAGTTTCGCCTCCACCCTCCCCACCAGCCCTGATGAGTTGGGGGGAGGGAGGGCCCAAGAAAGTCTCTGCTGAAGTTTAACTATTGAGCTTTGGTGTTCAGAAACAGAAAGTCACAAAGGTGAAGGGACTGAGAGTTTCAGAATGACTACATATCCCTAAGGATGAGGGCAAGAATGAGCATTATAGCATGTTATGCCATGAAGAGGGTTCAAAGCTCAAAATTAAGCCCAGGACGCTGGTCAGAGTCTGGTTTCCTGAAGTTGCGGTCATTTTGATTCCACCGTAGAGAAGGTCAAGAGTTTGAGACATCATGATTCACAATTTACAGATAAAACATGAAAAACAACAAGAGATCATCCGGTGGAGGGAGAAACAATGACTAACAAGTATTTCTGGTTTTTAAGTTTTCTGACAGATTTAAAGAGAGTGGATCATCAGATTACACTATTTATAGCTTTAATGCATCAGTTTTTACTAAATTATAAATATGAATAAAAAGCACACTTCTTGGACAGACAGGGGAAGGGGTTGGGAAAAGTGGTGCGGGTTGTGATTTACCAATTTCTTATCAGGCGCTGTCAATCATTACATAACAGAGAAAAATCAGCTCCCTCCCACGTTGAGTGTCCCCGCAGTACATCGTCTCCGCTTTCAACCCATGATTTAAAAATGTCTTCAAAGCGCAAGAAGTATGCAGACTTAGATTGGGAAGTTCATCCTGGGAGTCCAGATCCTCTCCCCCCAACAGGTCCGAGCAAAAAAGGAAAACAAACCCCAAAACACTACATCCCAGGGTTTTTAAATTCAAATCCCAAACTGAGCGTCTGTGGTCTTGTCCTCCACTTTCCCTCCAGATTAAGCATTAACGCACAAGTTGTTGCTTTAAAGGGGAATAAAAAAAAAACTACCTGGACTATTTTCACGGTCCAAATCCTAAAACTGCGCTTCTGTGTTTGCAGCCTTCCCAGCTGATATAAATTGAATCTAAAGAGTTCACCAAGCCGCTTTTCTTACTTATGTGCTCTTCAGCTGTTTCAGGTTCTCAGTCTGTGCAGAAGTGAGGTGATGATGCTTTTCCTCTCAACAGGCGAGGAGGCAGAGAGGTTTCGCTGCTTGCGCGTCTCATCAGCGGGAAAAAAAGCGTTTGGCTTCTCCACAGGAGCGCATCTCCGTCAAGTTTTCACATGGAACATAATGAACATCCGGTAGGGACTTTCACAATAAAATACAACCTGGCAGGGGCACACTGAAATTATGACTTCACTGATTACACTGCAGTCATTGGCTACGTTCACACTGCAGCTTGAAGTGACCCAAATCCGATTGTTTGTGAAATCGGATTTTTTTTTTCTTTTTTTGGCGTGGCCGTACTTCCGACTTGTATGTTTTCTCCAGTGTGAACTTCAAACTACCTGGAAGTATTCCGCATGCGCACTAAAGGACGCGATAAGCGCGTGCTCATGGTTTGCCAAATGCCATAAAACAGAAGTGCTCATTGTTTAAAATCAACAAGACATCTGATACTCAAATCTGGAATAACGGTAATGAACGTTAAGCTGTTTTCCAACCACCGTAAAATAGAAGAAGTGCTCAGTGTTTGCGGAAGTAAACATGGATGCTAACGGTGGAGCTTAGCTTACGATTTTAAAGTTGTTGTCCGACCGGAACCAGCACATTAACAACTTAATCCTCATTATTGTCCGCCATGTTGTTGTTTCTCCTCCTTCTTGCGCGTATCAGGGCGCAGAATAGTGACGTTGGTCGAGTATCAATGACGTTCTGTTCCACGAATGCGACCTGACCGTTAAGATTCAGGTCACATTTGACAAGTTCGGATACCCAAGCGGCCTGGGTCGCATTAATAAATGAATAAATAAAAAATCCTGTCTGTGTTGTTCAGACCGTCATGAAAAGATACAGATCACATTAGGGCAAAAAAAAAAAAAATCGTAATTGGGTCACTTCAGTGTGAATGTAATCGTAGATTTCAATAAACAGTGCGTCAGAACATGAATAACTATTAACTATTTACTGAATTTAGCTAAATACAACAAACATTTTAAAAGTTATAAGAAATCCTGTTCTTATAACAGAATAAATGTGTTAAATTCTCTCCAAAAGAATTTGAAAACTCGATGCTGTTCTTTTAATAAGGCAAACACGAATAACATCCATACAAACAAAAATTTGGACTACTTTATTTTCTTGGTTTTAGCTCTCTTTATTGGCCCAGAAATAAATTTGAATTGACAATTTTGGCTCAAAACGTTTGGACACCGACGGGTGTCCAAAGTCGGTCCTGGAGGGCCGGCATCCTGCGGGACCCATATAGTCTGCCCTCCTTGTCCCCACATGGGTCCCACCTAGGCATGCTGGCTGGGCATCCTGCATGTTTTAGTTCTCTCCCTAGTTTAACGCACCTGCATCAAATGATGGCTCGTTAGAAGCCCTAAGAGGAACTGCTGAAAAGGTTGTTACGTGCAGGATGCCGGCCCTCCAGGACCGACTTTGGACACCCCTGCTTTATACCAATCATATTTGTGTGTTTTATTTTGAAAGTCCAGCTCGAATCTCATATTTCGTCTGTCTAGCTTTGCTCCGCTCAGTAAATCCAGTGGAGAGAGAACACAACCAGTGCAGTTCTGCTCCTATTGCGCTGAATATTTATCTATATTTAAAAGCCCAAGACTTGATTTCAAAGTTTCATTTTTACTGTATTATCAGGCATCATCCTCATATAAAACAAAGCTTTTCTTTCTTGCTTTTATCATTATTTCTCGCTTCAGCTGACTTGAACAGAAGGATGTGGCTTACAGGAGATGAGAGAGGAAAACATGCCTCAGAGCGATGTTATTTTTAGAGCTCATATGTGAACTGAAACGCAGTTAATTCACCTGCTCTCTCTCTCCCTCTCTCTCTCTCGCTCTGACGCAGTAAAATAAATAAATAAAACAAATAAACACCTGAGATTCTCGGTTTGGTTACTGTAAAATCCTGCGATTTACCCCGAAAAACATTAAATATGTTTCATCTGCAGGATATCACTTTTTTTAATTTCTAATAATGTCGCAGTGACAAAATAACTAAATAATAATAATAAAACAAATGTTATCTTCTGTCCAAACTCTGTAATGCATTTTTGCTGCCATCTGCTGTCTATTAGCGAGGCTCCAAAAACAATAATAGCACACAAACATTCAAGTCAATGCAAAAGAAAATTGCTTCAGCACTTTATTTCCACTTTACAGTTCAGCCAATTTCAAAATGAACATATATATTACAAAATAACAATATTAGCAAACATTATAAAATAGGCAAAGCTAATATAACATGATCGTCTGGTCATTTGCAGCACATCAATGCAATCAAATGGACTGGAAACGGTAGGTAAAGTTGATTTAAGCCTTTGGGAAATGACTGGTAGTAATAACAGTCTGTGTCTCTTAATGCAGCTGCAGAAAATCAACATAATATTGCTGTAGCGTTAAAATAATAATGCAGGTCCACATCGTGCTATGAAGAGCAGCTTCTCACCCGAATGGCTTTTCTAGAGCAAAGTGTCATAAAACCTGAGAATATAAAAAAAGAAAAATCTTTTTCATTATTATCTAAATAGAAAAATAACATCTCACAGTATCCATTCAGGTTGATTCCTTTAAGTTATAATAATTTAAAAAGAGAGCAACAGAAAATGATGTGCTAGTTCACCATCTCAGAGCTCAGATTCCGCTGATGTTTCATTTTTTAAATATTTTTTTGGCATGGCTGAAATTCCTCAACGGTCCACCCATCCGTAGTATTAGACACCTCAGAGCAAAAGATTTTCACAGTAAGAAAAACCAGTGGTTAGGATAAAGTGGTTTGTTACCAAGGCAACTAACTGTACGTGGCACGATGGGCACAGCACTCTCAGGAATCTAGATTTTTTTTTTTTTTTTTTTTTTTTCTCTTTTTCTTCGGATACACAATAACAACGGTAGTGGAAATATGAATACACACACCGGGTGCATATTTTTTGGCATCCTTTGCTAACGGTTTAACTCTGAAACACTCAAGCAGCATTTTACAAAACATTCACTTAAGACTATGACAGGTGCTACATTTGTTTGTGTGTGTTTACAAAAGGTGGGATTTTCCACATCATTGCACAGTAATAAATAGGAACATATGCCTGTTATCTGTAGTACATGTTACAGTGCCTTGGAAAAGTATTCACACCCTTTAAGCTCATTAGATTTTTGGTGGCCTAGTCCAATCCAGCTCAACCAAATGAATGATTCATTTCTGCTGATTCAGGAATGCATCTAAAAGTTGCTCTGAATGACTGGAATTGCGCAACCATGTTTCACAACAAGCTTCAGCAACTTTAACTGGGATTTATGTAACAGCAGAAAAACAAGCAAACACATTAAAACTTGATCAAACTGCCGCCCCCTTTCTAATGCCACCCTGGGCAACCGCCATATCAAAAACAACCACTGAAAGTAATGCACTGTTTTCTTTTTTTCACAAAATAATTAAAAATTAGCATAAATTGAGGTGTTCAGTGAAGGTATCAGAGGTTTGTTAGAGAATAAAACAAGAACAAACACAGCAGGTGGAAAGTTTCACAGGTCATAGGTTACAGAACGTCACTGTGTTGCTGCCTTAAGATTTTGTGCAATTTTAATATTGCCAAGAACCTTTTAGATTGCTAGTTTCACACACGACATGCTAATCCTTCTCAGAAGGAGTCTGTTAGTTTTTTTAAAACTACTTTTTAACCAGAAGTTGTTTCATAATGGCAACATTCATAAAGATTACAAGTTGCTATTTGAAAACATCATGCAGCGCTTTGGACAAACCTACCAAATTATCCATGTCCAAATAAACGGACAGTCCTGGCATGGAGAACATCAATCGGAGAAGACGCTACGCAGAAGATTTTTATCTTTTATTGCCATTTGTTTCAGTTTACCACAAAACATGTTAGCAACGCCCCTGACAGGTGGAGGAAGGTGCGTTGGTCAAATGAAGCCAAAATTTATTTCTGTAGCCAACATGCAAATTTAAATGTGGCGGAAAACTAACACCGCCATCATGAAACACGGTGGTGGCAGCACCAGCGTCACAGCAGATGGGAGAACGGATGAAGCAGGATTTTAACCTTCCAACAGAAAAACAACCAGCCAGATAAACCGTGTTTCTAAAAGTGACCTATTACGGTTCCTTAAATAGATTAGGATAAATCTGAGGTTACAAAAAACATTTTCATCACATTTTTTTGAACAAAATTATTCTTAGATAAGATTTTTGACCTACTTTCAGAATGAGCTTCTGTTAGGGCATCCTGTCTCTTTAAATCCAAATAAACAGCTGCTGCTGGCCACGCCCCCCAACTCAACGTTTACATTCCCACTTAAAAATGGATACAAACAGATGCACATTTATAAACTGTACATCTTTGAAAAGCAGAAGTAGACCCTCCTGCACAACCAACAAGAATGTAGCAAGCGGTTTCCGAATGGTAAGTCAGCAACAAAACACTTGCCTTTTCCATCAGCCATTGTACAGCAGTAAATCCAGCTGAGCAAATGTCCTGGAGCACTACTTGGGTTGCTAGGTAACAGTGTAGCGTTACAAAAGATGTTTGTGAAACGGCTAATTTTCCAAACACTAAAAAACGCTAACTTATCACCAGAAAATGTCAGGGTGTTTTCTTTAAGCGCTTGGGTTGTCTTTTTTTAGGAGCAGTAGAGACACAAATGGAAGTAGAAAAAATGCAAAATGTGATTTTTGCATAATAGGTCTCCTGTAATTAGCTCATTTATGCATCAGAATGGCCTAGTCAAAGAATCAATTTGAGGGTTAGCAACTAAACTGGAGCCGCTACTTAAAAGACAAAGCTAATGTCGAGTCAGGACAAACAAATTCACGCCACACTTCTCAGCTCTTTATTTTTAAAGCATTTCGTCTGTCACATTGATAATAAATAAAACACTGCATTTGATGGTTGTGTCGATACAAAATGTGAAAAGGTTCAGGGGGTGTGAATACTTTTGGAAGGCACTGCATATTTATGTGTTCACAAAAACTGGGTACCGATTTTCACATCATCGCACAATAAAAACGGTCAGTTACCTGTTATTTGTAAGATATATGTGTAAATATGTGTGTATCTGTTTGGTGCATATATTCAAATATACTAGTTTTTCATTAAAGGTATACAAATCAGAGCTTCTCCAATTATAATATTTACAATAAACTCTTAACTTATTTCTTTACAGATATTCACAGAATAGGGACGCTTCAAAAAGGGTTTCACACACACACACACACACACACACACACACACACACACACGCACAGCGGAGTGCACATGGACGGCTGATAGTCTCGGACAGTCGCAGCATTTTTATTGCTCAGTATCTTCATGAGGTAAAAAGTCTTTGCCTTAATCAAAAGTGGACAGAGGGAAGCTGATGGAGTGGGTACACTGCAAAAACACAAAATGTTACCAGGTAATTTTGGTCTAATTTCTAGTGCAGATATCTTAGTACACTTGAAATAAAGCTTAACTAACTTATAAGTAACTTTAATTGATATTAATGAATACTTGCCACTTTAGTAACAAGACATCTTTACCTTGGTATAAGTGAAATGTGCAGATTAGGACCAACTGGCGGCAGAGGAATCTGACTTCTTGTCTGAATTTGGATATTTTCTTCTCCGATTTCAGATTTATTGATTTCCGAATTTGTAAACTTTTTCTCAGAATTGCATTTTTTTTCTCAGAATTCAGATAAAATAAAAAAATCAGAATTCAGATTTTTTTCTTATTCTTCTTCCATAGAAATAATCTATCAGTGGAAGTAGTATTTTCTTGTAAATCTACGTTACCGTAAGAAATAACTCTGTTTATTCTTTTACTGCACTACGTTCCATAGAGTCAAACTACCATTTCATGAGCACCAGGACACTTGGCACTAGAAACTAGAAACACTTGATAATATTTTGTGTTTTTGCAGTGTGGGTCAGTAACTGAAGGTAGGTAGAAATGTGCAGCAGCCTTCTGGAAAAACGTTTGCAACATTTGGTGGAGGCTCAAACCGAAACGCGGTCCAGAGATGAGCTGCAGAAAGGCACAAAGAACATGAGCTGCAGGTTCAAAGTGACGGCTGGTCAGGAGGAGATGGATCACGATCTGATGCCGCGTCGTTTAAATGCTGCATGTTTTATCTCTCAGTAACAGTCAGGGGACAGCGGTGTGGCTTCTTCTTCTTCTCCTGTCCTGCCCGTGTTGCTCATCCTCAAACTGAACCAGCCTCTGCTGACCCGGAACGAGCCACGGACCGGGCAGCGCGGCGGCGGCCAGCGAGAGCCCTGAAATGCTGGCGGCGGAGACGCTGGCGTCTGATTGGCTGTCTCCAGACTCCGACGCGGTGTCGCCCAGCTGGTCCTGGGACAGCGTGGAGGCGAGGAAGGAGAACGGCTCTCTGTGCGGCTCCGGACCCGCCACGGTGACTCCTGGTAAGGGCCAGTCAGAGATGACCGACTCTGCGTCGCAGTCTTCCTCCTCCTCTTCCTCTTCCTCTTCGTCCCTCCTCAGGTCCCAGTATTCTGCCACCATGTTCCAGTTTTCATCGGTTTCGTCTTCCCGGTTTTCCTTCGGTCTGGGGAGTCTGTGGATCGGGACTGGAATGGGTAGGAAAACATCGTCATCTTCACTTTCTGCTGAGTCCGTTCTTCGCTCTGGTTCCTCCTCAGCAGCAGGTCCTTCCTCCTCTTCCTCTTTTCTCATCCTCCCCCTCTCCAAACTCCTGCTTTTCCTCTCTCTCTGTCTGCTCCTCCCTCTTTCCTTCTCTCGTCTTCTTCCCCTTCCTGCCTCTTCGTCTTCATGTTTCCTGATTGCGTCTCTCGGTAAACTCTGAGGCCTCCTCTTTCTCCTCTCCCCGTCCCCGCGCTCAGAGACGGGGCTCCGTAAGCGACCTCCTCCTACCGAGCCCCGCCTTCTTCTCGTTCTTCCTCTGACGGCTCCCGTCCCCCTCACGTCTCCCACCGACCTGCTCCTCCTCGTCTGCTTGGCGCGGCGCCCCCTCTGTCCGGTGGAGCTCACTGCAGCCAGACTCTGCTCTTTGGGGTTGTGCAGGAGGGAGGAGGAGGTGATTCTGTGCTCACGGGCTGAACAGGTGAGGAGGAAACAGAAACAAGGTGAGTCGCCAGAAAACAGGAACAATAAAATCTTTGCCTGACAGATTTATCTGATCTGCAGTGCTTTGCAAAAGTATGAATGAAGTTTTTAAATTTTACACATTTTGTCTTGTTCTCTGACTTTGTTTAAAGGATTTTATTTATAAATAAAGTGAAAAAGCAACATGAAGTTTAATTACAGCTTGTTTTTATTTCTGTTTGGATAAATCTTCCTGTTCTTAAATTAAAAATAAAACATTTTATGCTATAAGGTAGTGTTACCTTCCTTAAACAGGTTAGGATAAGTCTATGGGAACATGTTCATGATATATATAAATATATTTATTAACAAAATCATTCTCTGATAATGAGATTTCAATCTGGCCAATTCTTCAAAATGTGACTCAATAATTAGGAGGATTGTTTTCTAGACACCAAAAGATTTTGATAAAAAACTTATTTCCTGAAAGTGGTTGGAAAAGTTTTTACTTTAAGCTCTTTGTCTATTTTTAGAAGCAGTAGATCAAAATGGAAGAACAAAAATGTGAATTTTGCATAATAGATCTCCTTTAATTAAAGCTATTTTTTTCAGAATGGCCTAGTCAAAGAGCAGCCCTATCGATTTAACTAAGTTAGAGCTGTTACCATAAAAGATTTGCAGCTGCAGCCATGAAGCTTAGAGCCGCAGTGAGGATAAGCACAAATTCACTCCACACTTTTCAGCTTTCTACTTCTAAACCATTTTGTCTGTCACATAAAATCCTACTGAGATGTTTTAGGGCCTCCTGTCACTTTAAATCCTAACAATCTGCTGCTGGCCACGCCCCCAACTCAATGTTTACGCTCACATGAAAATGTCTGCAAACAGCTGTGCATTCATAAAACCGTACATCTTTGAAAAGCATCAGTAGAGCTTTCTGTACAACCAACAAAACAACATAAAATGGTTTCTGGATGGTACATAAACAGAAAAACATTCGTCTTTTCCAACAGCCATTGTACGGCGGTAAAACCAACCGATTAAACATGATGGAGCTCTGCTTGTATTGCTACATGGGTACAGAAGATTTTTAACAATGAATTGTTTTAAACCAGGCTTCCCTTTCCTTCCACTTCACAGTTATGCATGACTTTGTGCTGGTCTGTCAGACAAAATGCTAACAAAATGTGATTTTCATGCTCAACCCCCATAAATACGATTGCAAGGCACTGCACATTAAAAAGCTTCTAGCTTAAGTGTTTCACTGCTCTTAAGGTCGTCTTGGGTAAGAACATCCTGACTGTGCTGCAACATGAATTAATCATACAACATGCATTTATTTATCAGCGTGCTCTCACATTATGCATTCACATACTCACAAATCACGAAGGCAAAAGCATTCTGCTCACAGGCGAATTTGCAAGAAACATAACGTTGTTCATTACTAACTAATCTCATGATCTTATAATGAGGAAGTCCGACATACGCTAACTTTTACTGAGCGCAGACAGCAGTGGAGAGTGGTTAAAGAGATGTAGAGAGGCAGAAAATGGGAGAACTAACAGGAACCATTACCAACCGCGTATTCTCTGTCCGTCCAATGACATAGAAGCAAGGCTCGCCTAGCTTGGAGTTGGTCATACAGAGAGACAAGCTGGAGAGCTCCACTGAGAGGCAAAGAGAAGAGAGGAAACGAGTGGAAATGAAAGGGACGGCCAAGACATGCACAAGGTGAAGGTGGAGTGGAAATGTCACCAGGAAGAAGGTTTTAATGGAGCAGAAAAGTATAGAAATCAGAGGTGGAAGAGAGAACCAAACAGTGGAAAGGATTTTAGTTAGTCATTAAGATAAGAGAGAGGAATAAAGAAAATAACACCTGGAAGACGCAGATATTAGAACAGGAGTTTCTCGTTATAAACATCTGTCCATTCAGGCACCTAATAAATGTATTTAGGTGCTTTTAATGCAAAAACACTAAATGTTACCAAGTATTTTTGGTCTAGTTTCCAGTGTGAATGTCTTAGTGCGCTTCAAATAAGACTAACTTACAAGTAATTTTTTAACGTTACATTATTCGCATTAACATTATTTAAGTGAATAATTCATTAATATTGATAAAAACGTTCTAGTTCCACTGGTAAATTATTTCACTTATAACATGGGGAAAATCTTTTATAAGTTAAATAATCTGCCAGTGGATCTTTATAAAATCAATATTAATGAATTATTTACTTAAATCAAGCTCCTATATCTTGCTGAAAAGTTACTTGTAAGTTGGTTTCATCTTATTTCAAGTGTTATAAGATATTTGGACAAGAAACTAGACAAAAATGAAAGATAAGATTCTGTATTTTTTCAAGTTTTTATTATGAAAAATCACAAGAATTTGGATTGAAAAGTCAGAACTTTTTTCTTTTCCAAAGAAATAATCTACTAGTGTTTTATCAGTATTATTATTGACTTAAAACAAGCTTCTATATCTTGCTGAAAGTTACTTGTAAGTTAGTTTTGTCAGGTTTGAAGATATTTGCAGTAGAAACTGAACCGAAGATGCTTGTAGAGGTTTTGTATTTGTGCAGGGTTTGAGCTGAAACGCCTCAGGCGGCGCCGTACCGTAATCAGGCACGTAGCCGTTGCCTCTCTTGAGCACCAGGTGGATCCGGTGGCCTCCGCGGCGGATCATCTCCACGGCCTGGCTGTGGGTCATCCCGGTCGTACTGTCCCCGTTGATCTCCACCAGCTGGTCGCTGACCTGCAAGCACACCATCACTTTTCATTTCACTCACAGGAGGAAATAAACAGCGTAAAAGGTGAGCAGGTGTTTCACCTGCAGATCTCCTGATTCATCAAAACTCTCCCTGTTATGATTCTGACGTTAGCGGCTCTGCATCTGAAGCTCCAGGTTTTATATGACAGAATAAACTTTTCAGTACACACTGTACTGTTTAGGATTTATTGCATAGTTATGGCTGCTGTTCAGTCTCTTGAGAAGCTTATGCTGCATTCACAGCAGCAGCCCTGATTAGACAGATTAGTTTGTTTTTCTGCAGAGTTCAGTTCGTTTGCTGAGGCGTGAATTAAACAACGAGCCAAAAAAGAACCGAACTCTGGTCTGCCTAGAAACCCAAGTTTTGGTTCAAATTCATATGTGAACATCAAATGGACCGGAGACAGCACCAAAAGCAGGAAGTGGACCACAGTGCAGGGCATTGTGGGTAAATAACTAGAAGCAGTGGGAGAAATTGGTCATGATCTTTTACCAAAGACTAAGAAATCTTACAACCAGTAAAATTCTTGTTTACATTTTCACAAGGAAGGAAGTGGCGCTCAGTGTCTTCTTCAGTGGTTTTTATGTAATTTCCTTCAGTGGTTCTTGGCGCAGCGCCCCCACAGGCGAGGAGGGGAACAGGTTTTTCAAATGGTTTGGGATGTTTGACTCAGTGCAGTGAAAACGAACATCAGCAGCTGAAAATGTAACAAATGTGGAGATTTCTGTCCCAATTCGAATTGAGTCAATAATTCCTTAATATTGATGAAAAAGTTCTAGTTCCCCTGGTAAATTATTTCACTTATAACGTGAGAAAAATGTATTGCTATACGTGGAATAATCTGCCACTGGAACTGGCATTTTTTTTAGCCAATACTAAGGAATTATCTACTGAAAAGAAGCTCCTTTATCTTGATGACATGTTAGTTATAAGTTAATTTTGTTTTATTTGAAGTTTACTAAGATATGTGCAATAGAAACTAAACCTTGAATACTTTGTAAGATGCTGTTTTTGTTTTTTTTGCAGTGTGGCTTTTTGTTGTCATTTCCTGACATAATGAACAATTTACAGACTCACTTAATATAGCATCGCTAATGTAACAGTAATAATTTATAAATGTTCAATTGTAACACTATAAATGGTAAAATCATTAAAAAAGATGAAGGAAAAATTAAACTTCTCTTTATTTGGCCTTTCTGAGTAAAGCTGCTTCTCCCTGCTGAATAAATTTGCTCAGATTAAAAGTGGGATTGTGTGACGCCACCTGTATCTTCTGGCTGCGTGACGCGGGGCCGCCCTCCATCAGCCCGAGGACGTAGAGGCCCATGTTGTACTCGCTGCCGCCTCGGAGGCTGAAGCCGAAGCCGGACGGCCCGCGGTCCAGGTCGACGCTGTAATACCTGGAGTCACGCTGGCAGGGAGGGAGAAAGGCAACGACGGTCACTCCTGTTTCTGGAAGCACACGGGCCTTCAGGAGAAGCATGTCCTCACCTTTGGGCGTGACCTCTGACCCTTCCTGCTCCTGTGACCGTGGTCGTGGTCGGCGGTTTCTGTGTGATTTGAAGCGTCTGAGGTGGATTAAGGTTTTGGTTAGATAGCTGGCTGAGCGCCGGGCCGGTCGGCTCTGTGCTGTGTTTGCTTACAGGTGCTGGGCCGGGGCACGATGGTGAGGCGCAGCGTGTTCCCGGCTCTGCGGAGAATCTGAGCGAGCTCCCGGTGAGGCAGCGTCACCACCGAGCGGCCCTCGACGGCCTCCAGGCGGTCTCCGGGCCGGATCTGGCCGCTCTTCGCTGCCGGGCTGCCGCGCCGGACTGTGACGAAGCGGTGAGGAAGGAGGGACGCAGCTGGAACAGGAACAAAATCCGTCAGTCAGACCAATCTAAACGGCAAATATCACATTTTATTTCATATTTAAAGGGGACCTACTATGTAAAATTCACATTTTGCACTTTTTTGTTCTTAATTTGGGTCTCAACTGCTTCTAAAAACAGTCCACATAAAACCACTTTACTGTTTTTGGTGTCTAGAAAATGAGCAGCTGGTTTTGCTGCTGTATGCGTTGTACAACGGCTGCTGGAAAAGACAAGTGTTTTGTTGTTTTTGGTGAGGTCAACTGATTAAAAAATATTCTGTGCTTTAATTACACCATGATTAAACAAGATTAATTACTAAGCTTAACTTTGTGAGCTTCAAATGCAAAAATGCCCTTTTTAAAAATGTGTTTAAGAAAATATTTTATCGTTTCACCTTCAGGAAGGTTTAAACAAAATGGAATAAAATTAAAAGAAGTCATTTTATTCCAGTGTAATTTAGAGATGTTAACTCTAAGCCGGTTGTGATTCGGTGGATTTCACCAGTGCACTCAGCAGGCTATACTTAGTGCACACTTATGTTATATTAACATGTTTTAGATTATTAACGTTGAGAGGCCTAGTTGTTCACTTACCCCTGAGAAACCATTTGCTGCATTCTTGTTGGTTGTGCAGGAGGTTCTACTAATGCTTATCAAAGATGTATTATGCTTGATCTGAAAGGAGCTCAAAATAGGCAGAACTGAAATCTCATTTTCTAAGAATGATGTTGAGCCAAAAAGATGTAATGAAGGTGTTTTGTGTGGTGCATAAATCCACCTGAACCTCCTCAATGAAACATAACAGATCACCTTTAAAGTCTAAACCTTAACTAGCATAAAAGTGTTTTATTTTTTTTATTATCGATTCCGTTTAAGAGCAGGAAGATTTACCCCAACAGAGAACATGCTAGATTTGCTCAAACAAGCTGTAATTAAGCGTCAGCTTGTTTTTTGGCTGGGTTAATCCTATAAATTACTTCCAGTGGGAGTTTTTTCTACCCTCTTCGTCTCCTTGAAACACTTCCCCCTTTGTTTCATCCTAATTCACCTTTCTCTGGCGCGCCAGCAACATTTCCCCCCCTCTATTGATTTGCCTTTTACCTCCAGAACAAGGAGTCATGACCAGAAGCCTTCGGGCCAGAACTGATGGTTCTGTCCTAAATCTGTCACGCAACGTCACATTTTGGATTTTTACGCTTAATATTTATACGTCAGTAATTTTCTGCTGTTCTGCAAACTTGCAGGTTGTCTGCATTAGTATGCCACTCATGTCTGAAAGAAATACACTGCAACATTTCTTTTTCTCTGCAAGCAGCTAAGGGGATAGTTCAGGTTTTTTGTTTTTGCAGAGAGGTTCTGTTATAAAACATAAATCTGATTATAACTAAGCTCTCTTAACGTCTTTATTTAGTATAAATCCAGGGGGATTCAGTTAACATCTTCCTGAAACCAACTCCAGTATAAATAATGCTGTGGCTAATTATCCAGTTATTCTTTACCCACTTTGAATTATTGGGTTATTTTATTTTTATTTACATTGATGATGGAGGTAGAAGATGGTAATCCAGTCGTTATTTTCTGGAGTGAAACAGGAAGTGGAACATTTAAAGCTTTTTCATTAAAACAAAGCATATTATATCAAATTAGAGGAATACCATTTGAATGCTGTTTACATCACTGATGATGCTCTGCCTCCCTACTTCCTGTGTGAATAATTACTGGATTCTTTGGAAATGTCCACCTAATTTAACTCTTAAAAAAAACCCAACTTAAAAATCATTAGCAAGCCAAAGATATTAGAATGAAATATAAATATGATTTATTGTTTCATAGACATTCAGGAGTTGTTGGAAACTGGAGCTGATTGAAGAAGGTAGAAATTTGTTTTGGTCTAAGCTAATCTCGGGCTAGCTATTAGCTTTAGCGTCTTTAATCATCCATCCATCCATTTTCTTTACACCCTCGTCCCTTAGTGGAGGTCGGGAGGTGCTGGTGCCTCTCCAGCTAACTTTCCAGGCGAGAGGCGGGGTCACCCTGGACAGGTCGCCAGTCTGTCGCAGCTATCATCTTGACGGCCACATAAAAGCACCAGTGGGCCAGATTTGGCCCTCGGGCCTCGAGTTTGAGACACATGATCTATTTAAATACTTTTTCCTTTGCTGTATGTGGGAACAATGTTGGCAGTCCTCCACTCTGAGCCTCTGCACTGCTCATCGTCATGAGCTGCAATAAATGAAGTAAATAAATAAAGTGTGAGGAAGAGGTCAGAGGTGAGAAGGAGCTGAGTGGGTTGTTGTGATGCGCCGGTTTCAAAGTAAAACACAGAAACCGTTAGCTTCCTCGCTTCGTCTTATCTGAGATCGCTCAGATTTAGGCTCAACGCTGACCAGCGTACGAGTTTGATGAGGAAAAAATACGGAGCAGCCGAGATTTAAATGTTCCTACAATAATCTCCTCCAGCAGATAAGAAGCTGCTGCTTACAGATTTTCTCTGCTCAGATGTGAATCTTCTGGATTTTTTATGCCGGCCCCTCCACCCCCATCCCTGCGTTGAGAGCAAGCTGCGTTTTGGTGACAGCTGGCCCCTCCAGAGTCCTGCCAGTGGCCTTACGTAACCCAGAATAAACATTTTCCATTTAATACCAAAACCCCTCATCGCTCTCTGGGTAAAAACAGCAGGTTTGATTTAAAGTTAGAATGCTCGTTAACAGATTGAACCTGTGACGAGGGGGCGAAGAATATGCCAGAGGAGATGAAGTGCATGTCAGACAGGGACGATGATTCGGTTAAAAGGCAACTCGGAGCCCAGAAACATCTCCAATCTGGACGTAATCTGGGTGACCCAGGCAGAAACGGCAATCAGGTCAGATCAAAGCCAAGGCAGCTTTGGACATAGTCTTCTTATCATGCATAATACATCAGCAAACAGATGAATACACATGCACACGGCACCATTGTACAGACACACACACACATGCCCGGAGTCCGGGACGAACACATTTGGTCACAGATGTGGGAGAACAGACACAGCTGCATGCGAACGCACAGATTGTTTTTTTTTATCCTGTGGGGTCTTTCCCTCGTGGCTCTCTGTCTCCACCGTAATCCCACTGCGGTACATCCTGCAGCCACCATTCATGAAAGGTAACAGCCCCCCTGTCATCACCAAGCCCCCCCTCTGCGGCTCGGATGCGGACGTAGCCGGCACCGAGCGTCGGCTGGTTCTCCTCGAAACGCAGCTGAAATTCTTTCTAATCGTCTTTCTGACGGCTCAAAAATCACAGATAATCTCAACATGCAAAAGTGCACTTCTGCAGCAGCAGCACCTGAGACATGTGACCAACTTTCACACAAGCAAACTTCAGGACATGCAAACATGAAGGGATTAAAAATATTTACGTTTGGACTCCTTTACAGTTTTCAAAGCAGACTGTAGTCTCTCCAGCATGGCTCTTTGATTAGCTAATGCAACAAAAAGAAAAAGGAAAAGAAAGAAAACAACAACAAAAAAATGTCCTTTAGTCCAAGTCCAGCAGGTTGAAGGCTTCACCTGCAACAGGAGCTAAAACACAGGCTGGCCGTCCCCCTCTTTGCTCCGCAGCGAGGGAAATGTTCAGCATTTCCCTGAAGCATTCAGAGGTGGTGGAGAGAGCAGAGAGGTATGAGGGAGGGGGAGAGTTTTAATCTCCTGGAAAACCAGACTGGACGCTTTTACTGCAGAGTGAAAAGGGGGGTGAGAGACGGAGGGTGGGCGGGAGCTTATGAGACGAGCGGCGGCGAGGGAGAGAAAGACGGGACAGACGGAAAAGAGAGAGAGAGTGAGACGGGGTCGGAGGGGACTTCTTGACAAGATAAGACGACATGGGTTTTATCGGCGTGAAAACACGCACGTGTTTGTGTTCGACCATAAAGCGGTTTTATCTGCATCCCAGAGAGGAGGAGAGGCTTATGCATCGTTGGGGATGCTGCGTTTCACCTGCTGTAGACGCAATAAACACCAAACCGAGAGGCGATAAGAGCAGTTCAGTTCCCAGAGAGGACATAAATAACCCTCCACGCTCTGTTGCAACAAAAGAAAAGGCTCTGCAGGAAACGGTTATGATTGAGTGGATTAAAAGTTTATGAAAAACCAATCCACTAATTTCTGGACGCCTCTTATTCTGTTAAAAACAAACAGATTTAAAGATTCTGTATCTCTTCAATGCAAAAACACAAAATTTTCCCAAGTGTTTTTGGTTTAGTTTCTAATATCTTGATACACTTGAAATAAGACAAATGTAACTTTTCAGCGACTAGTTCAAATGGTGGATTATTTCACTTATAACATGGAAAAAATATCGTTACAAGCTGAATAATCAGCCGTTGGAACAAGAAATTTTTCATCAATATTAAGAAATTACTCACTTAAAAAAAGCTCCTAAATCTCAATGAAAGCTACTTTTGTCTTATTTCAAGTGCACTAAGACACAGAAACACCTGGTAATATTTTGTGTTTCTGCAGAGTGACCAGTCCTTCACCGGAGTCTCTGGGGTCCAATTAGCTCTAAGTGCTGCAGAGCTTGAAGGACCTGAACTCTCCAGCAAAGAGCCTTGAACTGAAAAGCGCCAGACGACGAAGGTAAAAACTGAACAAAGATGTGTTTTAAACGACCAGAACCAGGAGATTTAAAAAGCACTTTGTAATAAACCAACCTGAAAGACCGAATGCAAAGCAAATTGTTTGAAATTGCAAGGTGAACAAATGCATCAGAAAAATGTAGATGAGGCATTGTGACTCATTCAGTGGCTTGTGGCCACGCCAAGCAGTTTTAATGTGCAATTACCTAATGGTGCTTCTTAGCACAAGGGCATCCAAATAAAACCCGTTGCTTTGGGCAGGTCACCAACTGTTAGTGCTTTTCAGAAGTTCTGATATTTTACGGGTGATGCCGGTTCTTACCTCTTCCGTTCTCCAAGTCCTGAGAGGCAATCACAAACCCGAATCCCTCCCCGGGCTTTCTCCTCAGTTCCACATCGAACCCTCTGAAGCGCCGCGTCCGCTCGCCCTTCCGCTTCTCCAGGCTCGCTTCAGGAACCGACACGCCGCCGCCGCCGGCCTCGTCCTCCAGGCCGATGTCGATCCAGTCTTTGGGCTCCATGGTCAGGGTCACTGGAATCGACTCCAGGAAACTGGTGCTCTGGATCAGAGAGGAGCTGCTGAGGAGCGGGGAGGGAGGGTTGCTGGTGGCGCTGCGGGGAACGGGCAGCGCCTCGGGGAGCAACGACGAATTGTCCGCGTCAACGGGAGGAGGAGGGGGGCGCAGCAGAGGCGGAGGGAGTCTCCGGACCGAGCCGGGAGAAACCGATAAGTGATAGGTGCCTAAAAGACGAGAGAAACCGGATATAAACACTGAGCATTAGCTGGTTAGCAGCTGGGTTTCCACTGGAGTTACATGTTAAATAGCTTTGTGATAAACCAGGAGAGTCCAAACGTTTTGAGCCAAGGGCCAAAATCCCCAAGCTGAAAATATTCAGGGGCCAAAAGTTTAATTTTCCCCACCAAAAACACTTAAAAACACAAAAAATGTATTGTGAATTGTTTCTCTTTTACCTGAACAATAAATAAAACAGTTAATATTTTATCAAATATTTTATAATTTGATAAAATTATTAAACATTTTAATAATTCCATCCAATTATTGTTAATATATTAATATTAATACATATTGATTTTTTATCAATATTTTTTAAAAGAAAAATTATTAATATTTTTTACCTTAATGTTTACAGTTATGTAACTTTTTGGAGTAATTATTTTTAATTTTTTAAGTCTACAAAATTTATTTACTTTAATCTTTTACAACTTTTGCTGTTTTTAGCCAAATGTAATACATGGGTGTGCCAAAGTCTGTTTTTGAGTGAAAACATGCTGGATGTTTGTGGCACGACTAATAACATAACAATAATTTTAAAAAGGCTAACTCAAGAAAAATTATTTGTGTTGAACGTTTAAGGTGATACAAACTTGCCATGGAAAATATAATCCTAAAAAATGTACAAAAAATGTTGCAAGGCCAAATTTGTCCCATTCTTGAATTGAAGTCACAAAATTAATACAAGGGCCACAAAAGGCCCCCGGGCCGCACTTTGAACACCCCTGCAATAAAAGATAAAATTGTTGTTTTGAGACTATTTTCAAGATACAATGGTGATGGCATATTAATGGAAGAACGCATTCTCAAAGATCAATAAACTTTAAATTCTAATGATCATTTAACACTGGAACTGGAAGACATGTTAAATATCCAAAATAAATAAAACAACAAATAGAAATTTATTATGATGATCTGTAGGCAAAATGGTGTTTTTGTCACTCGCGGTATAAAGACAAACTTTTTATCACATTTGTAATGGAAACACAGACTCCAGATGGGTTGAGAGTATTTTACCTCCTCTGTAAACCAGCAGAATAACTTCTCCCAGTTTTGTGTGTTCCTGCAGGATTGTCTGAATCTATAAAAAAAGGAAAAGTTGGGGTTATTTTTTGGAGTCAAACTGAAACACATTGTTAAGCAAAGCTTCAAGAGTTAAAGTTAGGGCTGGACAGTAAATCAATAAAATATATTGTGATGTACATGTGATCAATATCAATAGATACTACGTCTGATAGAATCTTCAATAGTTACTCTCTCTAGTTCTGCCAGATAAGCATGGCTGAACTGCAAAACCACAAAATTTTACAAAGTACTTTTGGTCTAGTTTGTAGTGCAAATACCTTTTTACAGTTGAAATGAGACAAAACTAACTTACAAGTAACTTTTCAACAAGATGTTGGAGTTTGATTTAAGTCAATAATTCCTTAATATTGATGAAAAAGTATCAGTTCCACTGAAAGTTTATTTAACTTATAACAAGACATTTTTCCCATGTTATAAGTGAATTAATCTGCCAGGGGAACTGGCACTTTTTCATTAATATTAAAGAATTATTGACTTAAATCAAGCTCCAACATCTTGTTTAAAAGTTACTTGTAAGTTAGTTTTGTCTTATTTCAACTGTACAACGATATTTGTACTAGAAACTGGATCAAAATACTGTATTTTGTGTTTTTCCAGTGTGGTGGAATCAACTGACTCGCTCCAACTTCGGTTACCTAGCAACAACATGCTGGGGAGCAAGCAGTTCCAAGTTCCCCCAACTACGGTTACCTAGCAACAGCCCGTTGAGTAACTTGTAGCAGTTTCAGACTCACTGTGCCTCATAACTGCTTAAACATTAAAAGTTTAGAGGAGGAATTAGAACCAAGTTTAAAGCAGAAACTGAATAAATAATTATTACTACTGACTGATATGAAACCCTGATGTTGCGATACATTTTTCAGTCATACTGTCCAGCCCTTGTTGAAATAATCTAAGTTGACTCTTTAATTTATCACCTGAGTGAGGCTGAGGCTCTGCACATCAGCTCCATTGATCTTGACCACAGCGTCCCCTGGCTGCAGGGAGTTGCACTGCTTTCTGTCAAAGACTCTCTCCACCACGGTCAACCTGCCTCCAGAACCACCAGCCATCAGGCTGAACCCGAGGCCCCGGTCTCCTTCGGTTTGCGCCAAGGCCACTGGAACGAGTTCCCCTCCGGTGAATCCCCCGAACCCGCTGCCCACACTCATCGCGCCAGGAGAGGAAACGCTGCTGGGGCTGGCAGTGGGGCTGGTGTTGCCATGGAAACCGTTGACGCCGTGGTGGTGTGGGCTTTCTCTGGTGGGCGGTGGTCTGAGAAGGGAGGTCTGCGGTCTGAAAAGGTGGGTGTGAGCGCTGCGGGGCCCGCCGGAGGAAGACGACGGTCTCCGCGGCGACTCGGGGAGTGGCAGCCTGGTCCCCGGCATGGTGCAGGTGGACAAGTCGCTTTCGGATGACTTTGACGTTCCATAACGTAAATGATGCTGCGGTGTCGTCAGGGAGTTATTGTTGTGATTTCGTATCATTGACGCCCTGAGGAGAAAGAGAAGCAGGCAAACATTGAACTACACCTTACTTAAAAAAAAAAACACATGCAAACTCTTAGAGTCAAAAAATGTATTAATCAGTTCTAAATCAAGCAGCACAAAAAACAACTGATAATGTAACTTACAATAAACAAACTAGTTTGACTGAGTCGTTGACCTCCCTCTTTGTCCCAATTCTTTTTATGAAGGTTTTATTGGCTCTAGTGGCCTTTATTTGAGAGAGGACAGACAGGAAAGTGGGAAATGAGAGAGGAGGAAGACGTGCAGCAAGCAAAGGTTATCAGTCTGGGACTTGAACCTGTGACTAACACCTCCATATGTGGGCTGTGCTTTACGCCTGCTCCACTGCAGCAACCCTCTCTCCCACTTCACAGAATTATTAATTACATCAAATATTTTAAACTCATGATGTATTAAAAAATATTCTGTAAAGATGAAATCACTCTCGCTGTCGGCCATTACTGACATTTCCAGGTGTCACTGGTGTGTCAGTTTTACAGGAATACCAGAAACACAAAACAAAGGTTCAGGCTTTGGACTTTTGAATGTAGAAAAAATGCAACTAATTGATTAATGGTCCAAAAACAAACAAAAAAACAAACAAATATCAAGTTAGTTTAATGTAGCCTGGTTTAAGATAAAATGATACATAAATATTCTGGTGTTCTGCGCTCCTGGTAACACTGAGATTATCTCTTTATTATGAGTCAGATTAGATAAATTACTGCCTCCAGCATATAAAAAAACCTCAAGTAAAGCATTTGTACTCGGATGCATGAAGTATTGAGCCAAATGCACCATCATCAAAAACTTACTTTTTCTAAATTAATCCAACTCAAGTAGAGGGAGTTGGAAATACCAAGTAACTTACTAAAACTGATTTAAATCAACTTCCCATCTTCAAATAAATATTGTTTTGCATTTACAGTGTAATCTCTGCGTCTGAAAAGGTGAAGTTCGGGTTCTTACCTGTGTGAACCGACCGCAGAAACAACCTCACTGTCGCTCTGGCTGGCCAGCGTCGGGTCCAGCGACTGCAGCCTGGCTACGCTCCTGTGTGACCGCGGAGGCCGCACTGGGGAGAACGGCGCAGCGTTGCTCACGCTGGAGCGCCTGTACGGCGGCGGCAGTCTGGACGCGTAAGACGTGGCGTTTCCGTTGGCATCCAGGGTCACGCCGTGCTCCACGTAGCCTCTGTCGCTGTGGTAGCCGTTAAAGAGCTGGCTCTGCGGTGAAGGAGTTGAAAGGCGAGGTAGCTGGTGAAGAGGTTGCGGTTGGGTGGTGGTAGGCGCGACATGGTGGTCCTCGGCGTCCAGTAACCTTGGCAACGGCTGCTTGGGGCGACCGTCCGGGTTGTAGAGCATTGGATACCCCCTTCTCACCTCGATGTCTATGCTGTGGCCCACAGGCACTGACTTGAGCATCTCTACCGCCTCTTTGTGAGACATTCCCAACACACAAGCATCGTTGATGTACACGAGTATGTCCGCTGATGAAGTCAAAACAACGCACAGGTTAAATACAACAGACATCATATTTTTGATTTTATGTAATGTTTTGGGGAAATTTTGAAATGTCATTGTTACCGTATCTTCTAAAGGGTTATTGTGTAATGCATACCAGCATCTCCTTTACAGAGAGAGCAGCAGTACTTCAACATATTTTCACTTTAGTAAAATATGTTGAAGTACCGAGTAACTGATCAAAAATATCAATCATTTAAGATTTAAAAACTACATAATCAGACAGAATAATATGAAAACTTATGTGGAAAGTTATTTGGAGGACCCAAAAGAAAATTATTCAAATTAACAACATAATTACAATATAACATCAGGCAAATGAAAATATTTTCAAATACTTTCAATACAAAGCTTATGAGAATAACATAAAATGCAGGTGCCTGTCTGTGTTTGGTGAGGAAGTATCCAAACATTTTACTAAAGAGTAGCAATACTTCATGATAACATTATTCAAGTAAAAGTAAGAAATACAGCATAATAAAAAAAAAGTTTTTTTTGTTATTTTTTTCTTCAAAAAGTTACTGAAGTAAATGTAACTTGTTACTATCCAACTCTGGTCTTTTGTAGGCAAAAGAGTAAACAAATAAAATTGTGAAAAGAACTAAATTGCTGTTTATGTCGCAAATATATCCTAAAAATAGCATGAACTTATTGACGGTTAGCCTAGAAAGACAGCTAATAGTAGCTTAAGAGTCACGTTTTAAATTCTTTACTTTTGACCAGTACCACTGGTGTCTTCAAGGTTTTCATCAGACATTCAGTTTATTTCAAAGGAACTAAAATGCTGAAAGGTGAGCGCTGTCTGAGAAGCTGAAAGGTGCAACAACATCTCCAAACAGTTTCATGTTTCCATGACAACCATCTGCAGTACCGCTGAGAGGTTTCAGGTTCATGGGACGGTCGGCACTCTCCTAGGACATGAATACAAGGGGAGGAAGTGCTGCACCCATTTACCTGAGAACTAGTGGGACAGTAAAACTAGAACCAAGGAAACCATCCAGAACCATTTTGGCTGAACTTCCGGGTCGAGGTGCTTTACTTTCTGACTGCAGGATCTTCAACATTTCTGACATAAAATCAAAGTAAATGCTGCCAGATGTAGACTTCTGTTGTTGGATATCATGCCTGCATTAAGGATCTCATCCGTTTGTGCATACTGTGTACAGCTCCGTTGTTTGTCAAGTGAATCAATAATCAATAGCCAAGTCTGATTTGTGCCCAACATTGAACATGCAAAGTGCAGAGACATTCGTCTCTGTGTTTGCTTATAAAATTCATCTGTGCTTCTGTGCGCTTGCGGACTAATCCGAAAAAGTAATCTGGCTAAAGCAGCCTATTTAACAGATATGAACTAGATCAGCCTGTGCTCTGGCCTCCTGGAGCGGTAATAGCTGCCTCTGTGAGAATTTGCGTGACAGTCTGTAAACAGGATGTGCGCCACTGTATTTGCAAGTGTTATGATAGCAAGATTACGGATTACTAGCCACCAGGATTAAAGGGTTTTATCTACACTTTCTCTTGTATGTAAAAATAAAGATGTGGAGCTGCAGGTGAGGAAAAGATGTACAAACACTTTAATTACAGACTGATCCATAACAGAAAATACGTTTGATTAAATGTATAATGATTTCAATGACTCCAGAACCGCACAGCATTCTGGGGGATGTAGGCAGAAGGAAAACTTTAGCCGCTCAACGTCAGCTAAGCAAGGTTTTTGGAATCAATTCACTCTCTCACTCGCGTTCTGGTTACCTAGCAACTCACTCGTTCTGTGGTTACCTAGCAACGATCTCCTGAGTAACTTGTGCAGCAGCAGTTTAAGGTTTTCCTATCGTGCCTCATAACTGCTTAAGAATAAGAAAAAACGGCGTGGAGTGAAAGCAAAAAATGAGTAGAACATCTCAAAAGGAGTTTGCGGATATTTCAGATATTTCAACACAAAACTAAATCATAATTATCGATATCGACTGATATGAAAGCCTAATATCGTGATACGTTTTTCAAGCATGTCGTCCTGCCCTACTGTTAATTCAAATACACCAAAAGATTTCCATGACTTCAGTAAAAATAGCTACAGTCTGCAGATATGCCAATTCAATAGCTTTCACAAAACAAATAATATTTCTCAAATATCGTAAGTTCATGCTCATCACACTCTTCAGTGTGGATGATGTTACAGAATAAAAAACCCCTCAAAGTTATCTAGGTTCAAATTCACTGAGCTGTTATTAAAAAAAGCCAGAGAATTAAGGAAAATTGTATTTTCTATGACATGTTGACATATGTCTACAGTTTGTACAAGCTGTAAAAGAGCGAGAGAGAGCAAGACTTTCGCAGATACCAAGAAGACGATGTGTTGCAAAGATGATTTGTTTTTTTCTTTTTCAGCTCTTTATGTCTTTCTGTAATTGAACATGCTGGGATTCAAATTGCTGGTAGGTTTTTGTAGATCTCAGTAGTAAACAAATCAAAATTTTCTACAAGCTAAATGCTATAACTGTACTAGTTGCTAACATAAGAAGCTAAAGATGCTTTTGTGTTAACAAATACAAGCAAAAACCTCTTTTACAGTGATTGAAAAAATAAAATTTGGAACTCACAACTAAATAGGTAAGATTATTTTCATTTCTAAAGTTTTTACCTGTCTTAAGAGTGGAGGGGCCACTTGCCGTCACACTGTAGACCTGGAGAAACTCTCTTGGACGGCTGCCTCCGACTATGTTGAAACCAAACCCTCTGGAGCCCTTGATCAAGTGTGCATGGACAGGGAAACCCCTGAGATCCTCAGGCAGGTCAGTGAACCCTGATGATCAACAAAGTAAAGAGAAAAACTCAAAAACGAGACAGAGATTGATTAATGAGAGAATCGCACCAGAAAGGACAAAAAAAAAAGTGGAAACAGTCCAAGGTTTTCATGCTCAACTAAATGCTTGGAAGTGGCAGGTTTTAGTAGGGAGGAAAAAAGGAGTTTAACAGTACGAACCAATCGCCAGATGGCTTTTAACAAAATGCTACACAACCCAAACCATATGGTGGAGAGATTGCTTTAAAAGCAGAATCCATTACTGACTGTCTGCTAAGTTAAATTTGGCAACATAATCCATTTGCTTGACCAAGCTCTGCAGAGTCATGTAGGTCATTTTTAAATTTATCTTTAAATGTTACATCACATCAGAAAAATCTGCAAAACGTGTTTTAGATTGAGCGTATTCCCCTGGTTCATCTCTTATAATGTAAGCATGTGTTATAATGTAGACATGCATGATATTATAGCAGCAGATAATAAAAGTCATCAAAATCCCTTTAAAATGCAGACCAAAATGAATGCAATATTGCCTTCTGCTGGTAAAGAAAGGGCATTACACCTGACTGAGCAGCTGGAAGCAAAGCGATGCATTTGAATCTGTTCCTTTATTTAATGTTGCTGTGATCACAGACAGACATCATGAATTATATTTTTATTTGAAACGGGCAGATTACATGGATGCCAGTCACATGTTCTCCCCATGTTGACCCTGCCAGCCTGTGCAGCAGGTCTGGCTGCTTTCCAGCAGCTCAGAGCTTTAGGCGTTAATCACTTACATGCCACTGTTCGGCCAAAAGCTCATTCTATCTCATTTGACTCTAACAAGCCTGCTGTGTCTGCGGCTTCCGTGCATGACAAATTTGTGGCCTCATTTAGCATGTTCAACTGTTAAATATGTTGCTCATGTGCTGATAATTGCATGGTGGGAGAGAAGGGGCAGGAAAGGAAAACAAAGAAGAAACAAAGACGCTCACATTCATTTTTGTAGTTGGTCTCTCTGCTTGAGGGACGAGGGCCCAGCCAGCTGGTCCTCCTCGGGCTGCGCCTTGGGTAGGAAAACGGGCACAAGAAGAGCCACCAGAGTCAGTCAAATTATGGTACTGAATAAATGACAAAAATAGTGTTTACCTGGCAAAAATGCACAATGCATTTTAATTAACATGAGTTACAACAACATTTAATTTGTAACTGGGATCAATAAAATATTTTTGAATTTAAGTCAAAGACGGGATGGACAATATGGCTGAAAAACGTATCACGATATAAATGTTTCACATCAATTTACATTGATAATTATTGATTAGTTTTTTGGTTTTAAACACCTGAAATACTGCCAAACTATTGATGTGATCTTTCCTGTTTCATCCACAGTTTTCACTCCACAATTTATTTATTTTTTTAAGGAGTTATGAGGAGGGAAAGTGCAGAACTTTAAACTGCTGCTGTGGCAGTTACTCCACAGGTTGTTGCTAAGTAACCAAAGAGTGAGTGGGTTGCTAGGTAACCAAAAAATGAGTGAGTTAGTTGATGCCAATCTCTCGCAGTTATTGGGCACGAGGAGAAACATTCATCTAATCGTAATCACAAAAGCACAAATACTCAAATATATGAACTGGTAGGAAACTTGAGGTTAAAAGCCATGTACTGAAAAAAAACACAAAAAAATGAAAATAAAGAAAATAAGACACATGTAAGAATATGAGTTCCTTGTTATAAAATACATCTGTCCATTTATGCAAATAACATTTTGTAGTTTACTGCTTTCACTGCAAAAATGTAAAATCTTACCAAGTATTCTTGGTCTAGTTTATAGTGCAAATATCTTTGTACTGTTGTAATAAAACAAAATTAACTTGCAAGTGACTTTTTAGCAAGATAGAGTTTATTTTAAGTGAATAATTCTTTCATATGTATGAATATATACTAGTTCTACTGGCATATTATTTGACTGATAATATGGAAAACTTGTTGCATTGATGATAATTTTCTGAGAAAATTATAATCTGGTACCAGTGGTACCGTATGGGGAGGACAACAGAACCCATTTTCACCAGAATCAACAAACAGGTCCTTCAGTTTGCACAACTATCCCACACAAAACTTTAGCATCCACAGCCATCAGCTAGCAAAATTACAATATAATTGTTATTTTTCATGCCGTTATTGACTACATTTCACTCCATGGAACTACAGTGAGTCATACTCCAGCTACTCATGGAAAACTAAAAAAAAAAAAAACTGAAATCCTTTCGTTCCTAGACCCCTAAACTTTAATTTAGATAATATTTTACCTTTTTTTACACTCCAAATGCATCTGTGTTCTGATTTTATAATAATTAATTGAAGTCATATGTTTCCATTCTACTTTACTGCTGCTAAACCAAAACAAAACTACTTTGATTCAGAAATGAAAGACAACAGCACTACCTCTAGCTAACAGCTGGCTAAAATGCTAATGGTAAAAAAAAAACCATCTAAATACTAACTACTTGAACTTACTTGGCTTTAAGAATTTCTGAGAGAAAAAAAGACACTAATATGCAGCCACTCCCTTTTCCTTCGTGATTCACCCACGGCTCCATTGGATCAGCCAAATGGTCCATGGCTATCAACCCAGCTGCATGCACAGGGCACCAGAAGAGAGGAAGGATGCTGTGTTTCTAATGACCAGGAAGACAACAGGATGTGTGCAAGTTTGTGTGTGAAAGCGGTTTTATATCTTGGTAGGAACAAACTTACAGAGGATTTGCTATAAATTTGGAAAAACAAATTGCATTTGTAACAAATTTGAAGAAATGGAAGGTGTGAAGGTTAGTATTTGGGTAAAATTTGATTATTCTGGTTCAAGGTTAGGATTAAGCATTCACTTTTGATGGTAAATGATTGGAATAAGGGAAAGCGTGACAAGAAAGCAGCCTCAGTGCGTTTTAAAAACAAATGGGTGGCTATTCATGTATATAATATATTCAAAAATACACAAGACTTTATTTTAAAAAGCTGTGATGTAACATTCCTGCATAGCATGCTAAATGCTGTGTTCACTACTGGAGGGCATGTTAATTCAGTGTTTTTCACATCGTTCCATTATTAATCATGTTAGCATTGCATTATCATCTCTGTGTGGATTTAAGGGAGATTTTCATAGTCCAACATTTTCAGTATTTAAGACGTGAAATTTATGTTTACATACTCTCTAGTTTTATTCGTTCTTATATGTTTGTGTTATTTGACT